GTGACACAGTATCATCTGAAAATCATTTAAATTTGGTTTGCTATTTTGGAAAATCGATGAATCGCTCGATATGCTACAAGAATGTGTAGTAGCGTCTATTTTCGTCATTGTCTTTGAAACATTTGCTAAAATATCATCGAATGCAAGAATAAATATAAAAATATCGAATATTTATACCGAAAACGTTGAAATGCTAGAAACTAATTAGTTGCCAGACAGATGGATTTGGTCAAATTTTTTATCCTAATGCATAATTTTTTAGATAAACTTTCGTTAAAATGGAATTTACAGCCCTAACTCTACCCAATTTCTTCATTTTCATTATCTCGCCATCATGCGGATAATGAATGACCTGATTTGGAATTCAGGTGTGTCCCGACCCAAAACACCTATTTCCAAGTATCTTTGCATGAACCCGGATCTAAGATTCGTTGATGAGTGCGATAATCATCCTGCAAACAAATAAATCATCAGAAAGAGAAATCTATTTTGAAAAATTCACATTCACGTATGTACAAACCTGTACAAATAATAGAAGAAACAGATAAGATAAAATCCAAGCTTGATAAAACACTCCTTTTTATGTTGATGGATCGTTTTGAAGATTTCAGTGGCATCATACATATGTCGATTGGATGTGATTCTTTTGTAATAATGATCGTAGGCAGGAAATGTGGTTAGTATACGAAAAACTCGGGAACGAACAATTCCATTATCCAAAATACTCCATACTTTTGAGCATTGTATACTATCAGGGGAATGTTGACTAAAGCGGCTATCCAACTTCCGTTGATTAGAAACATAAAGAAAAGGAATGAATGGGCTAGCATTTCAGGAAGCACGAACTGCATAGATGGATATATTGAAACAACAAAACTTAGTGTATATGCGTTAAACATGAAAAAAAAGTTGGATGAACTAAATAATCCAGCCTATTTGCGATGCCCCAATATTACATACCTGATTCAATTTATTACACAGATCAATTGGATTGATGTAGTCGCATTCGAGATCCGAAAACATGATTGTCTGTTGAAAGAAAACTAAAGTTATGGATGAAGGGTGCCATAAGTTGAACAATTTGACATAGCCGTGCCATAAAATTCTTTAACCACTAGCCAGGTAGATCACACTCGAGTTGGAATGAAACCCCGAGCATTTCGATTCCAGTATATATATATATATATATATATTTCAATTTCCAACTATGTTAAAGGATACAAAAAAGACCATCATGAATAACAGTACAGCAGCCATAATGGTGCCGAAAAGGAATAGTAAAGCTTCGCCAGGCATTTTGGTTTATGTGGTTGTTTTTAATAAATATGGTTTTAGTATTTAACAAACTTTGTTTGAAAGTAGCGAAGAGTGAGGACGATTTAAGATCGTTATGTCATGGAATGTAACAATGAACCATCCAATCAATGTTTAACAACAAACATCATACATAAATAATCGAATCATGTGATAAACAACATTGGTTTTTAATGGCAAATTAAGCTTTCTAGAATGTTTTATTCTTTTAATATTGATATCTATCACAAATTAATTAAATAAAAAATTTATTCGTCTTTTTTGGGTTCAACTTTTTCAACCTTTTCAGTCTTCTTTTTGATGCGCGAGTTATTTCTACCCGAATTGGGTCTCAAATGATGCTCGGGAATCCAGCTTTCATCATATTTCACGTCTGACGATGAACTTGTACCAGTAGTTGAATCTTCGGGTCTGCTAACAGGAGGTCGCTACAAAGAAAATGAACGATGTTAGCCCCGATAAAGGAAAACATTCTATAAAACCATTACTAATTAGAAATCCTTATTACTCTTTTTCCTTTCTTGGATCTCGCTCCACCAAAGAACGCCTGGAAAATCAGATATCCAATACCGAAAAAAATTGCAGAAAGGATAAGATACAAGAAAAGGCTAAAATAAAATGATGATGGCACGCATTAATAAACGAAAATTGACTATTGCTATTGAATAAATATTTAATAAGCTGTTATCCCTACACTTGTAAATCAAATAAGGACTGTTCAGGTTCGACAACGGTGACTGTTTCATTAAATCCAACGCCTCTAAATTGGCGCTTCTCCTGATAAAATACCAAAGACAATAAAATTTAGAATGAGAAAATAATAAAAGTAATAATAATGATAAGGAAACATGAAAATACGCTTTTGGAAATTACCTCGTCAACAAAGAAGACAAAAAGAATAAGACCCAAGTCTTGCGTCGGAAATTCGGAATAAAAGGTATATTTGACTTCGACGTGATCCATCGCGGGGGCGGGGGTGGAATATTGGTAAGACGTAAGCTGTCATCAATGTTGTGTTAAGATTAGGTGTAATCAATAGTGTGTAAATTAGATGTAGATGGTATGTGAATCAGATGGTGAGTGAATTAACGCACAAAAATTTGACTCGTATAAATGCTGACATACATTTCGATAGATATCATTTGGTCTGTCTTTGTCCACCAAAACACCACCGACCAGCTTGACGGTATAATTGGATTCCCCTTTGTTGTCAAAAGTGAGTTTTATCGTATTTTTTTGACCATTTATGACGTCTGTGGCAGATAATTATATTGAGATTCAACATATTTACAAAATTTTAAGAAAATCTATAAATCGAAAGATTACGGTTGAAAGGGTTTCCAGTGATTTCGCCTGTGATGTCTACAGTTTCCGGTTGCTCATAGAGTTCTGGCTCTGCATCGGCAAAAGCTATAAATTTAAGTTAAAGTTATGAGTTCATACGGTTGGTACTCGACTAGATTATAAAAATAGAACAAATCACGAATCATTTACAACAGCGCAGTGAAAAAAAAAAAACAAGAGATACCCAGTGCAGTATATAATAACACGGACAGCAATAGAATTGCTAAAATATTCTTGGAAACTGCCATGTTTCGGCGAATGAAAAGAGGTAAAGAAAGGAGTGTAATGAATGA